CACTAACCAGGCAAACAAACGTATAGAGTATATATATATATATATCCATACATAAAAATATATATATATATATATATACATATATATATATATACATCTGTTTGCTGGTCTCCTAATTCCAGCCAAGAAAGCACCCACGAATTCGTCCATTTCGGTCGATGCGAGCGCTGAAGAGCTCAGGCCGTGGCGCCAGCACCAGCCGGGCGGGCTCCAAGATGTCCCGCTACGACTCCAAGGCGCGAAACCGTGACGCGAAACCGTGACGCCCTCTGCCCAAAGCGAATCGACCTTTCAACCTTTTGGTTTTTCCGGTTTGGGCCCTTGTTTTTTTGTGGCTCCAAAAGGTGAACTTGTTTTTAATTATTTCCAGGTCTTTTGGGCAAGTGAGGAAGACGTGGCCGGGTGACCGGCGGGGCGCACTTGGGTAAGACAGGGCATGTGTCAAAAAAATCGCGCGGATCTGTGGTTGGCTTGGGGAACACGAGATTTGGACCCGCAAAATGCCAACGTTGTCAGGTCTTGGAGAAGCAAAGTCTCACTTGCCCAAAGCCAACCTTTTGACCTTTTGGTTTCCCCTTTTTGGTCCATTTTTAGTCATGGCCCCAAAAGGCTAACCTTTTATTTCTGGGTCCTTTGGGCAACTGAGAAGTGGTTTGGGTCCAATGTTCAGGCACGTTTCGTTGGTTCTGTTTGGTTCAACATGTATGACGCAAGCATTGGCTCCAGACATGGGTTGGTCTCCAACTCGAGGCCCCGGAACATGGAACTCGTACCAAGTGGGCACTTTCGTTGGTCTTTCGATTCTCCAAGATGCGAGCGCGAACATGAATGTGTGGGATTGGATATCGACGAGCTAACCGTCAGCAACCTCCACTCCAGACAAATATCCAAGGCATGGCTTGAAATGGCTCTTCACAGCAAATCTAGAGGTGTCACACTGGTATGTCCAAGAGTGATGAAGAGAGGCAAGTACGTTGAGTGCCCGGAACTTGAGCTTGCCACACTTGGGACTCTGAGGCTTGCCACCTTGCGCTGTCCATTGCCCCATGGCCAGGCGAGCACAAGCATCATGTCCAGAGCGGCCTCGACGGTCATCAGCCTTGCACTCAGAACTGGCGATGCGTCCGGCGAGCCTCCGGTTGAACCAGGCCCAATGGAGCTGTGATAGGGGCCCTGAAGAAGAGGGCGGAAGAGTAATGAGTAATGAGCAAGATGTTTGCAATCACGCATTCGTCTGTCTTAAGACATTTCAACATGGTGGTTTCCCGTTGGGTTCTTTAAAAAACACTAACAAAAACACAAAAAATCGGGGTAGCGGCTCCAAGAAAAGAAGAACACCAATGACGCTTTTCACGAGTCGTAGTTTTTTAGGTGAGTCTTTCAAGAGTCCAATGTTTGAACCCCTGGATAAACCCCAGGACCTGGTCTCATAGCTATAGGTTAACACATAGTCCTTTTGAGTCTTTTCATAGGCCAGAACAAAAATTGCCCTGACACAACTCTGGGAACTGCCTCGCGCATTGGGCCACAACAAGTGCGACATGACGCCTTTCTCGGCTGCTTGGTGGTTTGATCCCATGGGGGCCCTTCTATAGGCTGCTCATCGGATCAGACTTGAGGTGTTTCGGAAGAATCGAAAGGCATTTCTTGTGATGGAAACGAATAGGATATATTGGTCCATCCATTTCATGGGCCCGTGTTTTTGAGGTACCCTCCAATCGGGGGCCTGAAAACGCGGGGAACTTGGATTAGCCCACTTCCGGGCTTGTCCCTCAGACAACCCCCCATGTTTGTACGGCAATTTGCCAAAGGGGATCCACAAATTGGCTGTGGGTCAAAAATGGGCACCCAAAATGGCTTGCCCTGGTAAATGGAACCAAGGACTAAAACCTGTGATCCCCTGGTGGTTTAATTTTGACTCACACCCAATTGGGGCCTCTTTTCCTTTGCTTTCCCTTTGAAGCAAACCAAGTACCAACCGAGCTTCCAAAACATTTTGGTCCAGCGCAACCTCCAGGTGGAGGCTCCACCCCACTTTGATTGAATATGAATGTGTTGTACCCCGGCAGCGACGGCCGCGAAAGGTTGGTTTCTACACCCCAAAAGGGGGGGCGCGGGGTTGACAGGAAACCGCAAACATGAAAGACTTGCACGGCTCGAAGCGCTGACTAAAAGTATGCTCTACAAATCTACTTACATTCCAACCTCACCCACTGAGTTTGGAGACTTTTCTTGGCCCTCGAGAAGTGCAGGAGGAATACAACAAACAGCCACTGGGGCCATGGGTTTTGGCCCATTCGGTGCCTTCGAGGCATGCGCGACATCGCGTCCAGGGAGCGGAGTGCCTCGGCAAGAAAGACGTCCGTCGTTTACCGCGTCGTTGACCGGCGTTGGCCGGAGGTCGTTTGAGGGTCCCGTTCAAGAATTGGAATGGGGTTATTCCATTTGCTGAAAAGTGAAAAGAGTATGTCTTGTTTTCTTATTATTATGTGTCTTTTCTTTTTTTACAAACAACATCCCTTGTTGGAAGTCTATCACTGGACGCATTTTCTCATTTTGTCCTGGGGGCAACAAACATCATCGCTTGTTGATTTCAAAGGGAGTCTATCGCTGGACGCATTTTATCATTTTTTCCTGGGGGCGAAAAAGCAAATGGATGGGTTGCGGGGCACTTTAAGGTCAAACAAGACATGATTCATGTTAACTTCGGATTAAGGAACTGATATAAGACACATTGCTGAGAGATGGGTGTTCTGTGGGAGGGGTGCGTCACTTCTGCCGTTCCAGTTTCTCCTTTGCCAAGCTATTGCCTGCTTACGCCGAATTGCTAAGTTGCAAAATGCTGCCAAGGTGAAAGCAGGCTGGGCAGGTTATGAGTAGGAGAAAAGTCGGAGATACCACAACCGTCTTGCAGGGGTCCCACTGGACGGATTTGTGGAGATACAGCCGGCGAGGCAAATCGGGATTCGCCCTCAGAGAGGAGGTTCCTTTGGGTGTTTGTGGATTCCATGCCCCAGGCCAATTCGCAAAGTATCTCCAGCTGATTTCCAGCTGTTGTTTTGAGGTCGCCAATGCGCATCCGTTCCTTGGTGGCTCCCTTAGCTTTTTAGCCTTTTTAGTGTTTAGTGGTAGTTTCCATTTGACCCACTAAAAGTTAGTCACTTTTAGGGAAACGGGCAGCCCAGATTCGCTTGTCAGACTCAGGCACGGAGAAAGACAACCTCGGGGAGGTACCCTCCGCGCATCTGCGGGGCAGGAGCGAGGACACCGCAGGCCGGCGCATCAGGGGGCTGCCGGGCGGGGGGGGTGGGTGGGGTTTGGAGCTGGGCTTGGAGGCGGGGGCTTAGGGCGAGGGGTGGACAGGGGTCTTTCACTGTCCCAGAGAGCCTTGTACTTCCCGCTCAAAAACAGGGGGGAGGGGTTTGGAGGCGGGGGTTGGAGGCGGGGGTTTAGGGCCGGCAAAACAGCAGATCAAGGGACAACGGACGAAAACCCGCGGATTTTTTGACCGTGTGTCGGCACCGTGTCTGTTGTTGCTCTTCGTTTAGTCACTGTGGTCGCAGAGAGCCTTGTACTTCCCGCTCAAAAACAGGGAGACCGTCGACCCCTCCCTAGCTGGTCATTGGTGGCCAAATGCAGCAACGATTCGCCATTTCAGTACGTAGGTTGTTCCAGTACCTGGTTTAATAGGGCTTTAATAGGTAGTCCTGAATATAAACCTTGCAAACCATGTGAGTATCAAAAGTCAATGGGTTTTGGTCGCTCACATGGGAGAAAACACGCGCACACACACACACATACATACATACATACATACATACATACATACATACATACATACATACATACATACATACATACATACATACATACATACATACATACATACATACATACATACATGTGGAGGGACCCCCCCTCCCCCCCAAAAAAAGAGAGGGTATAGTTTTCCTGGTGTTTCCCTTTAAAAACCAAAAAAGGGGAAAAAGCCAAGTATCAGACTTAGAGTCGTTGCAGAGTCACTCTAGCTCTAGCTGGACCATGCCCGCATTCGTGTTGCGCAGTTTGATTGTATGTGGGGGTTCGTCAAAAATATGGCCCCTTGTTGAACCCGCCGTTTTTCTTGGCGCTACCAGAAAAGGCCCCTAGTTTTGACAACTCCCCAGCCCCCCATGCGTTTAATATTGCAATGCATGCTCCACGCAGCACGTCCAGCATGCCGCAGGCGCTCAGTTTCAAGCGCCCAGTTTCAAGCACCCAGTTTCAAGTGCTCTCGAATCTGACAGCGCGAATTAGCGGAGCGGAGCCAATAGATGAAAGGACATTGGAGACTGCAGGTAGGTCCCACTTGCCCAGTGCCCTCCGAAATTTTGGGAAGGATCCCCCCTACTTCAACCAACAAAGAAACCGTCTAGTTGCCTATTGCGCAATCTTATGCTGCTAGTTTTCAAGGGACTCTATCACTTCTTGTTTTTTTCAGGGAAAACAACGGAAATTGAAGAAACGTGGGAAATCCACTCCCAAGAGCTTTGTCAGTCGGCCCCTGAGCTCCAGGGATGTAGTTAACTTCCAGTGGAGGATCGCCTGGTAAAGTGGGAAGGACACCTACGACACTTAAAGCAACGCCAAGTTGGGGCCCTAGAGAATTGGATTCCGCAGCCCAAATCCTCCGCTTCCCCCCCCAAGCAAAAATACGCAGCCGGGTCCGTGGTTTCCCTTTCAAGCCTTAACTCTTAGCAAAGTGTCACGATTGCAAAAGAAACCGGGCCCCATCCAATGGAAATGCCGTTTCTTGGGGGTTTCCCTTTGAAACCACTGCACAATTTTTGATTCACCACAATCAAAACTCGGGTAGATGAAGGTTAGGGATTGTCCTCTTGCCATAAATGGCTGATGGAATATCCCTTCGAATTCTGTACGTGGTTTTGGTTAGAGCAGTTGAACACAAGGTTTTGATTATGACTCATTTGGCCGGCTGAACAAAGATCGCAACGCGCCCCATGGGGAAGAAGCGACTGCATTGGCGCGATGCGCTGCAGCAGCTGCAGGAGGAGGGTGGCCACAATGGCCTCATGGACGTTGCTTGGGCGCAAAAGTGGGGGGGTGGGTGGGTGGGTGGGCGGGCGGGCGGGCGGGCGGGTGGGTGGGTGGGTGGGTGGGTGGGTATGTCAAGCTTGGGCCTCTTTTGGCCTTGCCCCTTGAAAGCAGAGTGTTGGGCTCGAGCTTGGGCTGGCATAGCTTCGTGTCCATGGCAGGATGGCGTTTCGGACCGCCTGCACCCTTGGGTCTGTCTCAAGAGCAGATCTTTTGGGATGGATGTTTTCAAAGATAGAAAACAAGGCAAAGCAACTGTCTGGACGGGGTTGTGTGATTTTGTCTAACACACACTGAGACAAACCACTTCAAGGGCATGTTGGTTCCCTGGCATTCGCAGCATCTGTAGGACAGGCTGCAAGCTGTGAGGGCTTTCAAGTTCCCACGTTTCGGGCACCTTGAGCCCACCCTGTCTTCTCTTGCCGCATCTCTGAGTGCGGTTTCCATATGTCTAAACCAGACTCTGTTCGAAGCGGGCGATATTTCTCGACGAGCCCGTGTCGGCCCCTGGAGGTTCGTTCGCCTTGGCACAAGTTTTGAGGTGGGGACTCCCAACATGGTAGGTGCGCTAGTGGCTTCCCTTTTGAGTTTATAAAATAGGAAGATGCCCGAAAAGGCAGACGTACATTTCAACGAGTTTTTGCCAAGGACACGGCTGGTATGAACCGCTTTTCACTTCCGGCCGCATGGCTGTCGCCCCCCGCCCCCATTTTTCAACCTCTCCAAAGCGCTGCTTGCCGCGGGTGAGTGGTTGAAATCCTAGGCTGAGGCTTGATTAACATGGGCCCCCTACAAAAGCGTTCTGTTCTCAAAATATCTTAGGCTTCCCTTTCAACCAGGGTTTAATTCAACTAAAAGATGCATTGGCGTTGACTAGTTTACGTCTGATTTCCATGTCAACCATTTTCAAGCCAGGGTTTAACCCACCTGCTCCCATGTCCAGGCTGAACACCTTCCATTTGCTTAAGCCCTGGTTTCAAAGGGAAGCGATTTTGCGACTGGACATATTGTCTCATTTTTGTCCAGGCGAAGCACGTGGAAGAACAGGAAGCTTCAACCCAGCGGGTGGGAATTCCCGAGGCCTGTGTGGCGGCTTTGTCCCGGGGCAAGCAGTGGCAGTGGTGCCTCCGCGTGCTCGCGGAGTTGCGGCCGGGCTTGTCGAAGTGCGTCGAGTTTGTTTTTCTCGCCGCTCCCAGCCGCTCCCAGCCGCTCCCAGCCTCACTTGCCCCAAGCTGTTGACCTTTCGGCTTCCTGAGTTCCTGGACTTTACACTTTTTGGGACCCTCGGAAAACATGACTCAATGCTAAGAGGTGGCCCTTTCTTGCTGGTGCTCAGGAGGGAATGACAAGTGGAATGAACCCAGGCTTTGGTCCCCTTAAAGGAAACCACCAGTTGGATGGTTTATAGGGGTCATTCCCTCATTCCCTGCTGAGCAGTCGCAAGCTTTTTGTTTCCCTGATTTAGTCCATGTTTTGTAAATGTTCCAAAAGCAACTGAGCAGATGGCCAACATAGTGTTTACTGCTGGGGCGGGGGGGAAGAGGACAATCTTGATTAGTGGGAGTTCGGGTCTCTATTAATCAGGGGTCCACATTAGTTGTGTGTGAGGGTACCCGTTTCAGGTTGGTTGGTTTCAAGGGGAAGGAAACAGAAATGCCCGGATTTTGAGGGGTCCTCTGAAAAACTGCAAAGAGATATTCAAAGGACATGGACCTTTCTTGGTGCTCTCGGCCTTCGGCAAAAGAATCCAGTTGGTTGAGCTTTGCATAGTTTTCCACGTAGTTACCGTTCGGAAGGCCAATTCTGATGGGTCAACGAACGACCTTCTTGGTGTGGGGCGTAGGGACATCAACAAGTTTCCGTGGAGGGCCCAATTTGGACCAATTGAGGTCGTTCCAACCCTTAAATTTCATTTTGCCAGTTGACTCGAAATCCCCCTCCTGCTGTTTGCCTAGGCAGACTCAAGCCTCGTTTGACATATCAACATCCAAGCAAACCTCAAGCATCATGAACCCCTAAGGAAAGCTGTGAGGAGGGGGGCTATCCCCTTGTGAACCCTTTAATATGGCCTTAATATAGGCCTTATTCAGGGGCTTATCCTTGGCTTATCCTGGGATAGCCCCCCTCCCCTCATAGCCCCATAGCAGCCCTTGAGCTCCTCGAAAGTTTTCGAGGCAAAGTGTGGGCCCGCAGCCGCACAAGATTACCTACTGCTGCGCCATCTCCGCCTGCCAAGAGGCCGGGCGCTGGCGCCAGGCTGCCGCCCTGCTGCAGATGGCAGAAGCGCAGAGCGTCAAAGCCGACGCCCCCATGGTGAACGCGGCCATCGGGGCCTGTGGCTACGCCCAGGAAACCGAAAAAAGAGCCAAGCATGAGCATGTGTCTTTTGGAAGTGAATCAAGTTGGGAGAATGGCCTAGCTCCAAAACCTACCGTTGAAACTCCCTAAGGTTACAGCTAGGCCATTGTGGCAGTTGAAACTCTATGTCGCATGTCTTTGTTAGCTGCCAGCTAGGCTTAAAGGTTCATTCAGTGGCAAAGGTTCATTAAGCTTAAAGGTTCTTCAGCTAAGCTTAAAGGTTCCTCTTCTTTTTCTCCGCGAAGGTCAGCCCAAAGCCAAAAAACTTGGGTCCGCAGGAGTGGGAGAGGGCGCTGGCCTTGTTCTCGGACTTTCCAAGGAGGCGGGGCCCGGGGTTTTCGTCGAAGAGGACGGGCCCTCGGCGCTCTTGCGCGGCGAGCCCTTCATGACGAGTCACGCGTGGCCAAACCAAAGCAAATAGTACCCAAAATCACCCACAAGCAGCAACCAATCAAGGACACATGCCAAACCAAAGCAAATATTACCCAAAAATCACCCACCAGCAACAGCCAATCAAGGAAGAATCGCCCTAACACACAAACAGTGAACCAAACATCAACCAAAGGTCAACCAACAATCAGACACAGATGAAACAAAATCAACAAACAGCCACTCAAACACCTGCGACCAAACGTCAACCAAACATCAACCAACAGCAAACCGAAAAGCAACGAAACTCACCCGACCAATGTCAAGCAAGCATCACTCAAACACCCAAACACCCAAGCATCAAAACATCAACCCAAACTCAACCAAACACCACCCAAAAATCAACCAACAATCAAGCATCATCCAAACAGCAACCCAACCGTCGACCAACATCAAGAAACAATGGACGACAATGACCCACAAGTCCCCCAAGCACCACCTAAATCAGCCAACAATCCACCCAAAAACCAGCCGAACACCAGGACTTCTCGAAGGGAAAGAGAGGAAGGGAAGTTTCAGCCAGCGGAGGGCTGAGTCGAACTTGCCAGCCATGCATGTCACCGGATGTCGGACCTGCAGCCGAGAGGCAAAGCCAGTCAACATGTTTTGTTTTTTTTGAGGCTTGGTACCCGTTTTGGTGTGATTTTGAAAGGAAACCAAAGGGAACCAAAGCACCATATTTGGGCTCCCCTAGTTGCAGATACACCCTCAAGTTTATTTCATGCACACTTGCTTCAGGTGGGCTTTTTCTCTGCAGCTTGGGGACTTGAGGTTTGTTTTTCCTATCCCCCAGAAGTCCGAAAAGGTTCACAACTTTGGAGACTTCCCAATGTTGCCCCTGGCAAAACGGAGTTGGCTTGAAGGACAGAATTGGAAGCTCGGCGCCTCTTGACTCTCATCTCTTATTTCTTGATACGCTGCTTCCTTCCTTCCTTCCTTCCTTCCTTCCTTCCTTCCTTCCTTCCTTCCTTCCTTCCTTCCTTCCTTCCTTCCTTCCTTCCTTCCTTCCTTCCTTCCTTCCTTCCTTCCTTCTGGTGTTTGTTTGTTTTCTTTTCGTTTTGTTTCTCTTTCTTGTGTCTTGTCTCTTCTTTTCATGTCTCTTCCTTTCTTTTCTCGTTCCCTTATTGAGGGTTGTTGATGTGTGGTGGTTGATTTTTACTTAGGCTTTTTGATTGTTGGTTGATGTTTGGTTGATGCTTGGTTGATTGGTTGATGCTTGGTTGATATTTTGGGCGTACCCTTTTTGGGGTTGGTTTAAAGGAAAACCAACGGAAAGCCGCCATTTTGGGGGTATCCTAAAAACAACCCCCGAAATGGCGGTTTATTTGGACCCACCCCACCCACCCCCCCCAAAAAAAAAAAGAGACGAAGAACAAGTTGCCGTTTGTTGGCTTTCCGCCAATTTGGGGGAACCCATTTCTTGAGCTTGGTTTTCTTTTAGACCAGGGCCATACCCCATGCTCCCTTCTGGACAGAGTCCTCCAACTGAAGCAGGGACACACCCCTCCCCTCCCCCAAAACAAAGGACACAAACAAAGAACCAATCAATCAATCAATCAATCAAACAAACAAGCAAACATGTTTTTGACGTTCCATCTCTTTTCCCCAGACAGGTGCGTCTTTTTCGCGTTTTTTTTCCCCCATTTTTCCCCCTAGTTTCCTCCATGTGGGTGGCATGCATGCGCTTCCATGTGTCTCCCGCGCGCGCCTCGCGCGCTTCGCCAGGCGGCTGCAGATCTCGGACCGCTCCAAGAACGCGGTGGCCGCGGCGCTGGGTGGCGCCAAAGAGTGGCGCCAGGTGCTGGCGCTGGTGGAGTCGCTCCTGGCGCGCAGGGAGCGTCTGGATCAGCGCCTGGGTCTGGGGTACCTTGAAGGAGCTCCAAACAAAAACGCATCGAACTATATATGTCGCCTCAGCTATGTTTGTAATCATGCATCGAAATATGTATATATAAATATATACAAATATATACACAAACACGTGTATAGTTCAATGCAACCGGTGACTTACGTACATGTTGGCGTTCCTGCAACCAGAAAGCCGTTCTACCGTCAGAATGGAAAGAACTCATTTTCAAGTTGCAAGTATCAGTCTGCTGTTTGTTTTGAAGGTACCCTTCTTTTCTGGTTTTAGAAATTGGACACCAGCAGGACACCCACCATTTTCAGGGGGGGTACCCCAAGAAAAGGACGCGCCCGTAAGGTTGTGGTTCTGGTCATGGGCCATTTCGTTCCGCCGAGCCGCGCCATGCATCCCGAGCTGGGCCTCGTACCGGTGAAGAGGTGTTCAGGGGTTCTCAAGATTTGTTCAACATGATCCCTAGGGGTTGATTCCCCATCCTTTTCAGCCATCGTTCTTTTCAAAACCAGGCGTTTCCCAAGGGGTTTTGGTGGTTTTCTAGAAAGAAAGATCCCTGGAAAGTCTGGGGAACTTACCCCTAGAGCAATTGGGTGTGGCTGCTCTATATTTTAGGTTGGACCCCTCCAAAAATAAGGCGCGACAGTGTTCCCTTTGGTTTTCCGCCTTTGGTTTTCCGCCTGAAGCCAGCAAACAAGGGCAACCCTCAAAAAAAGGAACGTCGAATTGTTGAGCAAGTCGTACTAAACTTGTAGTCTCAGCCATCCCCTTAGGTTTGTGGCTAGTGTTTTGTGTGGATTTCCAATTAACATGCTAAAAGTTAGTCACTTTTACCTGGGGATCTGAGGACAGCCCAGTAAAATAGGGCCAGTTTTGCGAACAGGACCTCGAACAAGCTCTCCTTTCATTGGCTTGATTGTTGTTGCCTTTTTCTTTGCTTGGGCTGGGAGTTGGCAACCAAACCGGTGTCTCCTCTTTGGGAGTTGGCACCTCTCTCTTTTTTTTTCTTTTTCGGTACTTTGAAAGGACCACCAGGAGCAAAAACCACGGGAGCCTCCAAAACAAAGGGCCGCGGGAACCCTAAGTTGTGGAACCCCCTTGTTTGGTCCTCCGACGTTTTTTTGGGGGGAAACCAAGCAGCATGGCCTAGTACTAGCATTATAATATTATTAGTTGTAGTACTCGTAATAGTATTAGTAGTATTAGTAGTACTAGTATTGCTAGTCGTAATATTAATATTGCTAGTTGTCGTGTTGGAGTACTAATAGTAGTACTAGTCTGAGGCCTATGCGTGACTGCCTGGCCAAAGCCTCAGCCTGCGGGAGGAGGGAGATGCAGAGCCTTGACACGCGGGGAAGGGGAAGGGGGAAGGGTCTGGGTGCTCCCCTCATGGTTGCTTTCCTCTTGGTGTCCCTTTTTGAAGCCCGGAATCCCATCTGAATATATCTGGATGTCTTTTTTGCTCTGCCTTCAAGGGAAACCACAAAGAAACCCCACCATTTTGGGGGTCACACACCCATTCTCAACATTCCTTTTTGGGGTGAACACACCATTCTTGAAAGGCCAGACTATGGGGTCACACCTCGGGAACCTATTTTTGGGCCAATTTGGAGAAGGGTTTGCGACCCTCCGTTCGGACAATATCGGATTCCTATTGAAACATCCGAAGTTAATTCAAGGGACATCCCAGAAGCGTAGAAGCCGGTCCTTACAGGTGGCCAACCTCTGTCAGACGTGCCCCTGTCGAGTTGAACATTTTTTTTCGGGTCTGTTTAGGGAAACTTGAAAAGCCATTCGTTTGATGCCCTTTGCAACACACCCCGTTTGTGGAGTTTCCACACAAACCCAACTAAATGACGCTGGCAAAGTCAAGACTACTTGCAACCGGAGCATCCAACAAGGATCGCCTGTTGCCTTTCAGCCTTTTTACTAGGGACACTCCGACAAATTCGTCTTATTCCCTAGCACATGGGGGTTGATCAAACCGTAGGGAAGCCACTAGAAAAGATGAATGACTTTCACCTCTTTTTTTTGAGGGGAAAAGTGTCCCATGGTCAAAACTGGGGGGCTCTACAAATGGAATATTGATCAACGCCCCCCTGCCCCCCCCCCCCTTTTTTGTTGGGAACAGGTACCCATAGTCAAAACTAGGGGCCCTAGATTGGGAAGATTGCTCAACCCCCGCAGGTTCCAAAGAGGACTTTCACCATTCGGGAAATGTTGCGCCATGGTGATTTTGGGGCCCTCACTTCGGCATGTTGATCAATTTGTAGGGACACCAGAGAGAGATGTTGTTCAATGGGAAAAGTTACCCATGGTCATTTTGCTGATCACCCCCCCCCCCCCTCCCCCGCCATTTTTTGGGGGAACCGTTCCCCAGGTTATTCTTTCAGGGGCCCGCAAAATTCGGCAGATTCACAGGTTCAGAGTTGGTGGGATGGTCGGTTGGTCGGTCGGTTGGTTGGTCGGTTGGAGCAGCTCCCCATGATTTTTTTTAGGGGGGGCCCTAAATTTGGAAATGATTGCTCAACACCCCCACCATCCCGCCATCCGCCTGTCCCAGGAAGGACCTCACCAAGTCCATGGCCTCGGAGACGTGGCAGGCCGCCCTGGCGGCGCTGCACCGCGCCGAGGGCCGGGGGCTGCGGCCGGACGTGAAGATGCACAGTGCCGCCATCGCCGCCTGCGCGCGGGCGGCGCGCGGCGAGCCCGCAGCCAGTGAGCCAGTGGGGGGGGGGGGAGGGAAAGGCGGGGGCTGACCGGTGAAACCGGGAAACAAGCCTTAAGGTCTTCCAAGGACCCGCAAAACAAGGGTCCTTCTTGATTTTGGAGCCTGGAAGATCAAGTCTTGTGTCAGGTCGAGGTTTTTTGGATTTTGGAAGGAAGAATGTGCAGGTGAAGCTCGAAAGGGTTGGAGTTCGGCCATACTTTTCAAGCATTGTTCTTTTTATGGTGTTCATGGGAGGTCCATTCCAAACGAGAGTTGGCCAATCTGAACATATCTTGTAGACAAGGGCGAGATCTCTTTCGAGAGCATCTTGCAGCTTGAGGTCCAAATATGGACCAGAAGCCAACCTGTGTTTTGCTTGGGGCAAAAGCTGAGGTCAATGGGAGGCGTCTTATTACAAATGCCACGCAGGTTCTGCGGGGGTTGCATGCAAGCGCAACCAATCACTGGCAAATTGGTATGTCTCACTCGTCCCTCGTTCCGACCTTTTGGCCTTTTGAAAGGCCTTTTGTCATTCGGTTTGAGTTCAACCTAAAGGTGACGACCTTTTCTGCAGACAAGCCTGGACACGTCTTGACACACAACCTTCACTTTCCCTTTTCGTGAGTATGGAACACCTGTTTACGCGCTTGTCTCAAGACTTTGGGCACCCCACAACTTGCGTTAATGCTTGGACTCATCAAAGTGACATTTTCAAAATGACCCTTCAGATGGTTTAAAGAGGGAACCAGACCCCCTTTTGAAGTGTTTCTTTTTTGAGAACAAACCATTTTGATACCGGGTTTTGATTGGGGGTTTCCGCTAAAATGACCCTTCAGATGGTTTAAAGAGGGAACCAGACCCCCGGCCTTTGAAGTTTTTCTTTTTTGAGAACCCAACAAACTCCGGTGACTTTTCGCCTGCCTGGGGTTTCCGCTTTTCTCTCTCGCAACGTTTCTCAGGCTGGCCAGAGGCGGTGTGGGTCTTCGGGCAGCTGGACAAACCCTTCGCGGTCACCGCCACCGGGGTGATCCAGGCGCTTGGCGCCGCCAGCGAGTGGCACCGCGCGCTGCAGATCTTTCAGCACGCGCGGGACGGAGACGGACGCAGGCGGGGGGCTTTCTCTCGGGGTTCCGGGGGAAGAGCTGTCAAGGTCGTATAAAAGCTTCCATGCTGAAGTGAGACCGTTGTTGATTTGTGTTATTGCTTCTTCTTCTTCTTTTCAAAAACAGTTCCGGGGGAGAGGGGGAACAGCCTGGCCGAAAGGTTGTTAGAGCAATCCCAGTGTTTCCGAGCCAGTTCCCTTTTTCGGTGACCTCTTGAAAAGTGGTGATCGTTTCATTCGAAACCACCGGTAAATTGATCAACGTTTGATTTGGGGAAATCCAGGCAGCCCCTGTCAGGGCGGAGGTGGATGGCTACATGCGCGTCTTGGCATCGAGTGAAGGGAGGGTAGTGGAAGCGTCCCGAAACCGGTCCTGCGGGTGTTTTTTTGGTCTGCGCTCCTTATATCCGCCAGCCTTGTGTTTGCCTGCCCTGCCTGGGCAATCTAGCAAAAGACGTCAGAAAAATAGAACCCCTCCAAAAGAAACACACACACACACACACCACACACACACACACACCACAACCACACACACACACACACACACACACACACACACACACACACACACACACACACACACACACACACACACACACACACACACACACACACACACACACACACACACACACACACACACACACACACACACACACACACACACACACACACACACACACACACACACACACACACACACACACACACACACCCACACACACACACACACACACACACACACACACACACACACACACACACACACACACACACACACACACACACACACACACACACACACACACACACACACACACACACACACACACACACACACACACACACACACACACACACACACACACACACACACACACACACACACACACACACACACACACACACACACACACACACACACACACACACACACACACACACACACACACACACACACACACACACACACACACACACACACACACACACACACACACACACACACACACACACACACACACACACACACACACACACACACACACACACACACACACACACACACACACACACACACACACACACACACACACACACACACACACACACACACACACACACACACACACACACACACACACACACACACACACACACACGCAAAGACAAAAATCGCCTGGGTTCAAAACATGAGCTTCACCGCAGAAGGTGTTTTTTTCCTTCAGATCCACGTCGCCGGTCCGCCCAAAGAACCGCCACGTCTCGGCTCCCGGGCCCTCAGCTCTCGCGCCGAGGCAGCACCCTGCTGCACGCGGTGCGGAGCGAGTGGCGGCTGGTGCTGGGCCTGCTGGAGGAGTTCGCATTGGAGGCGGACGGACCGATGGCCAGGACCTTGCGCCTGGGGCGGAGATGGGGCTGGGGAGATGGGGGTTGGGGGGTGTTAGGGGGGTGGGGCAGGGTTGGAGGGGAGGGTTGGGGTTGGGAGGGTTGGGGGGTTGTGGGGGTGGGGGGGTTGAGGGGGTTGAGGCGGGGGTCGGGGTGGCCACAGGTTTGGATCTTGGCGCTGAAAAAGGGGAGGGGTTCTATCTAACCACTTGAGCTGTGGTCAAGGATTTGAATCTCCTTTGTGACAAAGAGTGATGGTGGGAATTCGGTATCCAGCTGGCTGCTGAGTTCGCAGACCCCTTTTGCCGGATGTCTTTTGGGTTGCCCAAAAGATGGGTGCCGCGTTGAACCACCGATTCAAGTCTCTCAAGATGACTTACTTGAGTTAAGCAGCAATATACATGCCTCGATGAGACGATGCCTTCTTGATTCAGTGAGGTTGACTGGTAAGCACAGACACATTCCAGCCAGGCTGGTTGGGTGGAGCAGGAGCGACCTGACGTTTTTTGGGGTCTCGGAAGACTCTTCTCGAACATGGGCCGTGTCTCTGGTGGGTGTGGCAACATAGGGGTGTGTCGTTTGTTGAGGGTACTCTTTGTTTGTGGTTTTCAAGGACGGCTAAAAGGAGAACTAGCAGTTTGGGGGTCCCCTTACTTTAAGACGCACCTATGGATGGGAGGGTACATTATCTCCTTCGTAGGCACTTGCCCAGATGTTTGTTCGCTTAGACTCACAGCTCGCGTGACACTTGCCAAACATATGGTCGTGTCAGACCCAGTTGAACCCCTGGATGGTTGGTTTCATGTTGTAAGGGGGTTATAGTTCTGACGCACTGTGGTCCCCTGGTCCTGAATTGTGTGTTGTTTTTCAGATGTCGGCCCTTGTTGCCTGCCAACTATCTGCTGGCAACTAGTCCGTACTAACCATCCCCGACCAATCCTTCCAAGCATCGCTTAACCCATTCCCATTCCCCACCAGCCCTCCCCTGCTCCCTGTGAAGATGTTTGGGAATGTGAGGTTGCCTTTACTTTTCCATCCCTGTTGTACCAGGTTTCATGTTGGTCATAGCGAGGCTTAAAGCTTGATCAAGTCAGGCTCCCAACTCTTGTACCCTCACTGTTTTGCCTTTCACATGCTGCGTGCTTCAGTGTTTGGAGCGCGGCAGCTCACTCCAGGGTTAGTACAAGGGCTCCTAAGGGAAACACCGGTTTCCCTGTTGGGATCTCTGTCCCAAGTCAACCTTTCAACCTTGGACCACAATGCTCGTTTGTCAAAATTGGGGGGTCCGGGAAAATGGTGCCCGAAAAGCGGACACCCCAACTTGCGGCCGGGCTGAGGATGTTCAACATCGGTCTGGCGGCTGCTCCGTGGCAGCTGAGCGGCTCGCTGCTGGAGCGCATGGACCAGAACCTTGGCAGTTTGCCATTGGCTGGTGCGATAGGTAGGGAATGACCTTTCCAGGTTCCGGCAGTAAATCCACCGTGGGATTCCCGAAAGCAGGAACCATAGGATGGCTTGGTTTTTGTGAGAGGATCATTCCAACTCGTTCCCTTCTGAGAACCAGCAAGATTGGCTGTTTGTTGGGTTGTTGGGTTGTTGGGTCATTGGGTCATATCCCTAGAGGTGGCACTGGGTTGGATCCAACCGGCTGGGGTTAAGGGACGCATATTTGAAACGGTGGCTGGCTGGGGTTAAGGGACGGATCGCAAACGAGTGGATGACCATTCACCCACTTGCCAGCTAGGAAACGAGCAAAATCAAAAGTTACCAATCAACAACCGGTTTGCTTTTTGGGAACATGTGTTTTCCCCCGTCTCACTTGCCCTACAACTGCCACAGCGCTTGGGCGCTTGGGGCAATTTGCTTGTTCCTCATTGTCATTGGCTAGATGCTTGTAGACTGGTATCTCTACCAACCATAGCGATGCAGGAGCAACACGCTAAACTTTCTGGGGGGCAATAGCCACGTTTGGGCGTGTGCTTTTTCTGAGGCTAGCATGGCTACCCTAGTCACCTTGGAGGGCCACCAAAAGAAGACCACTTCCCATTTTCGGGGGTCTTTGTATGTTAACACTTGCAAGGTTCCATTGTGCCTCTTTCGGATTGAGCTCACCGATCGCGAAATGGAGGCCACAGGACTATACTTGAGGATCGATTCTTTAAATCAGGTTTTGGAAGCGTCAACATGAAAATGATGTTGTTGTTTTTCCCGGAAGCATTGCGAAGGGTTCTTCTTCTAAAAGCGGCTGCCAACTTCACCTGCCAACTTCTCATGCCAACTTGTCGAGAGTTACTTCACCTGCCAACTTCTCATGCCAACTTGTCGAGAGTTACTTCACCTGCCAACTTCTCATGCCAACTTGTTCGAGAGTTACTTCACCTGCCAACTTCTCATGTCAACTTTTTGAGAGTTACTTCACCTGCCAACTTCTCATGCCAACTTGTCAGAGTTACTTCACCTGCCTACTTCTCATGTCAACTTTTTGAGAGTTACTTCACCTGCCAACTTCTCGTGTCAACTTTTCGGCTGTTATCTCATTCTACTAAAAGCACAAGCTAATTTGTCGGGTGTTACTTCACTATCCTAAAAACACAAGCTAACTTTTCTGTTCTACCTTCACTTCTCGACTCTTAATTCTTCTTCTTTTTCTGGCGGGGGTAGGCCCGACAGGAGCTTACGAAACGCACCCCTCTGCGGAGATCGTGCGTGTCGAAGCGCTCTCGCTGTGGCGCCGTGCGAATTTGTCTTGAAGAACCCTCTGCGGAGATCGTGCGTGTCGAAGCGCTCTCGCTGTGGCGCCGTGCGAATTTGTCTTGAGCGCGGCGAACCCTCTGCGGAGATCGTGCGTGTCGAAGCGCTCTCGCTGTGGCGCCGTGCGAATTTGTCTTGACCTTGGCGAACCCTCTGCGGAGATCGTGCGTGTCGAAGCGCTCTCGCTGTGGCGCCGTGCGAATTTGTCTTGAGCCTTGGCGAACCCTCTGCGGAGATCGTGCGTGTCGAAGCGCTCTCGCTGTGGCGCCGTGCGAATTTGTCTTGGTCGCGGCGAACCCTCTGCGGGGATCCTGCGTGTCGAAGCGCTCTCGCTGTGGCGCCGTGCGAATTTCTTGCTCGCGAAACGGCCTTTGGAAGTTGTCTTGTGGTTTGCACGCCTGCTTTCGCAATCCCGCGGTCGCGGGTTCGATTCCCCCCTGGTCCGCGGCAGCTCCGGCTCGAACATCGCAGCTTTTAAGCGCAAACGTAGTACTCGGAGCGGCTGGAAAATCGCAACTTTTAAGTACAGACGTAGTACGCGGAGGCTGCTGCAGCTCCGGCTGGAAAATCGCACTTTTTAAGTACAGACGTAGTACGCGGAGCGTGCTCCCGCAGCTCCGGCTGGAAAATCGCAACATTTGGATACAAATGGCTGGAAAATCGCAACTGTAAATTGCAAATGTAGCACGCGGAGCGCCTCCGCCGCTCCAGCTTTTTGAGGGTTAATTACTTCACCTGCCAGTTTCTCATGCCGAAACTTCGAGAATTACTTCACCTGCCAGCTTCTCATGCCACCTTTTCGAGAGTTACTTCACCTGCCAACTTCTCGTGCCAACTTTTCGAGGAGTTACTTCACCTGCGAGCTTATCATGCCAACTTTTCGAGAGTTACTACACCTGCGAGCTTCTCATGCCAACTTTTCGAGAATTACTTTACCTGCCAACTTCTCATGCCAACTTTTCGAGAAATACTTTACCTGCCAACCTCTCGTGGCAACTTCACCTGCCAACTTTTCGAGAATTACTTCACCTGCCAACTTCTCATGCCAACTTTTCGAGAAATACTTTATCTGCCAACCTCTCGTGGCAACTTTTCGAAAAATTACTTCACCTGCCAGCTTCTCATGCCAACTTTTCGAGAGGTACTTCACCTGCCAACATCGCCTGCCAACTTTTCGAGAGTTACTTCGCCTGCCAACTTCTCGCGCCAACTTTTCGAGAATTACTTCGCCTGCCAACTTCTCATGCTAACTTTTCGAAAGTTACTTCACCTGCCGGCTTCTCACGCCAACTTTTCGAGAGTTACTTCACGCGCCATCTTCTCGTGCCAACTTTTCGAGAATTACTTCACCTGCCAGCTTCTCACGCCAACTTTTCGAGAGTTACTTCACCTGCCAACTTCTCATGCCAACTCTTTGAGAGTTATTTCACCTGCCAACTTCTCATGCCAACTTTTCTCTTGAGTTACTTCGCCTGCCAACTTCTCATGTCAACTTTGCGAGAATTACTTCACCTGCCAGCTTCTCACGCCAACTTTTCGAGAGTTACTTCACCTGCCAACTTCTCATGCCAACTCTTTGAGAGTTATTTCACCTGCCAACTTCTCATGCCAACTTTTCTCTTGAGTTACTTCGCCTGCCAACTTCTCATGTCAACTTTGCGAGAATTACTTCACCCGCCAACTTTGCCAGCCAACTATTCGAGAGTTACTTAACCTGCCAGCTTCTCATGCCAACTTTTTGAGAATTACTTCGCCTGCCAACTCCTCATGCTAACTTTGCGAGAGTTACCTCACCTGCATCAACTTGCCTCTATGCTTCCGGGCCACTCGTCGTCTAGTTTAGTGGAGGTGAGCGGCTTTTGTATCAACCTCTAGGTCAAGGGTTGCGGTTTGATTATTATTCAGCCTCTCTGTTGGACAAGTGAGGATCTTCACTCATGGCTGACGTGCCTTTGGTGACGATCCCCACTCTCGACCAATGTAAGACATCTTTTTTAACCATCACCGGCCCAAGAGTTTTCATCCTTACTCAAGCATGTTTTAAGCGTCTTCATTTGAGCATCCTCAACCATTCTTGGAACAGTTTGCTTTCAGGCATTTATGGGATATCTTCTGAATTTACTTTACATTTGAAGTTCTCTAAAGCTGGCCCAGAATCAAACATCCGATTTGTTGTTGGTCAAACTGAGATCGTTGTCCTGTCTTTGTCATGTTCACGTAGACGAGCCCAAACCGCATCACGTTCCATCACGCATTCCCTGAGAGACGGTTGGGTTTGTCGCCCCCTGCGGGGTTGCTTAGAGATACCTTGCAGTTCGTCGATTTCGCTGTTTCGGGTGGCTCGTCTTCTGTTGGGGGACCAGGACCCAAAATGGGTGTGGCTCAAAATTGAACAGGAGGGGTTACGCAGGTTTTGGTCCATGTTTCCACTTACCAGGGTTCCATTGTGGCACCGGTCTTTTGAGCCACACCCAAAGGCATTGGGCACCACCCCGCAATGGGCACCCCCAAGAAGAACTTTTGCACCGACCCTCCGGAGAATCGAGCTCAGGCTCTCCATTGCTCCCTCCGCGGAGAGCTTCCACGCTGCGGCGGGCAAGCTGCCAGGCCGCGAATCGGACGTCGGGTCTTATGGAGACCCTTAGGGTCCAAGGGTGGGTTCTAAAAAAAGCTCCCTAGGAAACGGATGTGTTAGTGATTTCTGAACTTGGGGACCCCTTTTTTTTGGCGTCCAGTTAATGAGGCAGAGGCGTTCTTTTGGTCGGTGAGTTTGGGCAATGCAACAGAAGGGCTCCACTTTTTTTAGATCAGTTTTATCCGCCATCCATGAATCCCAACAAATCCCTTCGGTTTTGCCCCAGAAGGCCACCTTTGGTTTGGGGGTTTTAGAGGCGTTACCTTTGGTATGGTTCTCATGTTGGTGGTGGAAAGGTCGCTTCAACCAAAGACGAGCGCGCCCGGAACCGCCAGTGTGGTCATTTTAGCTAGGTCTACCTGGTGTCAGCATATGAAATCATAGCAAGGCCTTTTCCTTAGCCTTAGCCATCTTGGTAGAATCCAGCAATGGACTTTGGGCACTCAAATTGGTTTACACCACCTTAGTCCCCAAAACCTCACAGATCTTGTTGAACCAGCTGCTCAAAGAGGATGGAACCCCGGAAAGTTTGAAGGGCCGCGGAAGATGTCCATGAATGGTATGGAAGGGCGTGTGTCCTGCAGGGAAACCAAAAAAGCATCGAAGCCATGTTGGGGAGTTCAGCCTCAAAAAGGAGAATCCACATACATAAATGATGCCCATCTCATTCTGTGCGTTCTTAAGATGCTTGGCTTGCTTGCAAGGACGGACATGGCTCATATGGATGCCACATCACTCCTTGTCTCGAAGGTTGCCATAGACATGTTTCCTTGAACCATGCAGAGATTGTTTGGACTCCATGAATGTGCAAGTTGCTAGAGTTCACACCGGCAATGCGGAATCCCCAAGTACGGATTGGCGATCTCGTTCTGCTGTGCCCAGACGCTTGCTTTCGAACTTTGAAGATTGCACATAGATGCGTACTGAAATAAGGACTAAAGACACGGTCGACCTTATCAAACTTGGGTGATGAAACATTCAACAAGGGCGCTCCTTAGCCAGCAGTCGGTTGAATTGGTTGACTCAACACCTGGTTTTTCTCCCCAAAGTGGTGTTTTCTCCCAACAAGACACCTCGGTGGCTACAACGCAGGGTGAGCCACAACTGGTAGATGGATGGTTCACCCGGCTAGAGCTCAGTCGCTTGGAGTAATAAGAAGAAAAAAGCAGACAAACCCTCAAACAAATGTTACTCCCCAAACCTCGCCTCACTCCCCCCCCCCTCCCCATCAAAACAAACAATACCTCCACCCCTTCAATAAAAAAGCAAAACCTCCCTCCCCTTCATTAAAGAGCAAAATCCTCCTCTCCTTCATCAAACACCCCCCCAACAAAAAGACTCCCCCCCCCCCCCGTTTGTTCGAAAAAATCAAACCACCGGACCTCACGGACCCCCTCCGCACAACTCGCACCACTCGCATCACGCCGCCCAGCGCAGGCGGCGCTTGGCCCCGCGCGCTGGGCTTCCTGGCGGAGATGCGAACGCGGCGCCTGCCGCCCACCGAGGCCTCGGGAACCGCGCGCTCCGAGCGCGCTCGAAGCGCTCGAAGCGCTCGGGCCGACGGCGCCCGGTGGGGAACCCCCGCGAAGCCATATGGCCACGGGTCTTAAACTGTGCCGAGCCATTTTGGGGCGGACGAACACCCATGGACCACCTATTTTGATGTTCACCAGGGGTACAGTGGGTACAGGGTTTTGACCCACAGCCATATGATATGGGAGCTGAGGGATAACTTACCTGGACCCTCCAAAAATACTCTTATTTACACGCTGACGCGACACAGCCGGCCACCGGGCACCTTGCCCTGCCCGTTCTGTCACTTCCCTTTCCTGTAAGTCCGATTAGTAGATGTTAAGATTTTAAAATTCTAAAAACTTTGAGATTCTAAGGGTCTCAGATTTGAAGACTTTCGGAATTTAAGGTTTCAATGGTTTAAGAATTAAGGTTTTAAGATTCAAAGATTTAAGGTTTTTGAAGGTTATAACAGCCAGGCCATTGCCCAGCCATTTTCCATCCATTATCAGATTTCGAAGGCTTTAAGATTTTATTTTTTGTGAGATTTTCAGATTTGGCGACTTTCGGAATTTAAGTTTTTGAGATCTTAAGATGTCAAGACTTCAAAATGTCAAGATGAAGAGTTTAAGGAATTGAAAATATAGCCCGGATTGAAGGACTTTTTTTATATTTTACTTGTTTATGAATTTAAGATTTTGAAGCTTTTAAGATTCTGAGATTTTAAGATTTTGAGAATTTAGGAATTTCATATTTTAAGGTTTTAACATGTGAAGATTCAAAGACATGAGGGTTTTAAGAAGTCAAGATTCGAAGACTTTAGGATGTTTATATTTTCAGGTTGTAAGATTCTAACTTCTAAGGTTGTAATTTTAAGACCTTAAGGTTTCAAGATTTGAAAATTTCAAGATTAAGAGTTGAAGGAATTTAAAATATAGCCCGGATTGAAGGAATGCAATATTTTAATAATTTAAGATTTTCAGATTTCAATTGTTCGAGATTTAAAGAACTTAAGTGTTTAAAGTTTTTTAAGATTCTGAGATTTCAAGATTGTAAGACTTTAGGAATTTCATATTTTAAGAGTTTAAGATCTCAAGATTCTAAGACATAAGGTTTTTAAGATTTCAAGATTCGAAGACTGTAGGATGTTTTTTTTTTTTTTTTTTTTTTTTTTTTTATATTTTCAGATTTTAAGATTCTAAGTTCTAAGACTTTAAGATCTTGAGATTCTAAGATTGATTGTTAGATGTTAATTTAAGATTTTAAGAATCTAAGACTTTAGGATTTTGAGATTTCAATCCAGGCCATTTTCCATCCATTTTCCATCCACTTTAAGATTTTCAAAATTGGCCCGACTTAGGGGACAACATCCCCAGCATCCCCCGCATCACCGGCATCATCCGCATCAATGTCCGCCAAGGATGCGGATGATGCAGGTGATGCCGGGGATGTTGTCCACTATGCGCACCCCCCAAAAAACACTCGTTTTTTGACTCCGCGAGGAGATGCTCAAAAAGCCGCCAAAAATCGCCTGCGGCCCGATCACGTCCGGTGGCCGGATTTAGCAGGCTGACGCCGACCTTGAATGGATTGCTATGGCAATCGTAGCATCCCTTGCATCGCAAGCGGGCGTAACGTCACTTTAGATTTCTTTTTTCATGATGACGACGGTCACCACGCTGATGACGATGATGATGATGATGAGGATGAGGATGCTGATGCTGGATGATGCTTTTTTCCGTGAGGGGTTACGAGGTGCGAGGTGGACCCTTAATTTCGCGAGGTAGCTTGCTTGTTTTTTTGAAAAAATCGAAAAAAGAGAGGAAAAAAGAAGACAGAAGCACCTCGAAGGTGTAATAGAAGATGGACTGGGTCTCCTCCAAATATTGGATCACAGAAAAGTGTACCAGAATGAAGATCACCCAACATAAAAACAAGTGTACCAGATAAGATAGGCAACGAAAGCCGTAAGCAAGAAAGAGAAAGGAAACAATGGGATGGTCTGCAATATAAGATAATAAGATCTCAGGGGTGAAAAGTCCGAGGCTCAGGTCGGAGGTTGAGAGCAACTTTCGAAGACAAAGAAAGCAGGTTCTGCATCCCGCGCAGACGCAACATCCCCCCAGGCACTTGAAGCTGGGGATGCAAAAGCTGCCTTTTTTCCCGGGTCTCCAAGGCCAAAAAGGCAGCTCCCGCATCCCCCCAGCATGCAAAGCATCACCTCAGGCACCTGCAGGATAATGCTGGTGAAGCTGGGGGCGCGAAAGCTGCTGCTATGCTAATGGAAGGGAGGATACCTGCACCCTCAAAATCCCAACTTAAAAGAATGGGTTATTAACAAATTATGGTTCGTGAATTCCCATGTTTGATGGGTAGTTTGAGGGGTCCAGGTATCTACAAATGAACATGGAACCCGACGGGGGGGGGGTTCCCCCAAAAACATGGAACCTTGCTCAAATGAAACTGTAGGGTATGTCAGGGGACTAGTTCTTGCGGTAAATAGGAGGGATTTCTCCTTTCTTGAGTTGCTTGTTCCCCACCAGCTCAGAGCTTTGCCCAGATAGGCCCTGGCGTGGTTTGGAATGGCTCCGGGTTTAGAGTGGTTTGAAGGAAAGCAAAATGCATGTTGTGGGTCGTTTTTTCTGTTTTGACATACCCATCAGGGTCCCTCGAAGCACACTAGCTGGGGCCAGTTGAAAATCCAGATACCAGCTGATCTGGATGATCCGGTTCCTTGTTTTACATCCGGCCTTTCTTGGATGTATTCTTCAGCAAACAACCCATGCAGATGGATGAAGCCCTAATATTGGGGTGCTTTTGGTGCCAAATGACCCACCATTGCTGCGTTGCCCGAAGAAAACCAGGGGAGCAACGGCGGAGAAGCTTGCTGGTCGTCCAGCGTTAGGTTGGGAAGGACGCCAAATTGGGGCCCCAGGGGCCCAATTTTCCCATGTCCCTCAAGCACTTTAGTCTTTTTGGGACAAGTGGGCATCCTTAGGTCATGTGTTGAACGGAGATTCTGGTTTCAATTTGGAGATTCCTTAGAATCCATCCGGGTGGCTCGACTTTTTGGAGTTGGTAGCGGTTTTAAAGGATAACCACAGGACACATCCATCTATGGACATCTCCACCTTGTCGATGCTTAGCCCGCGTTCCCAGCACTTTTCAGGCCTGCTGTGCGTTTTGGTCGCCCAGTCGGCAAATGTCGGGGGCCCATGTGTCGACATGCTGGATCCCCCTGCCGCACTTTTAGTTGGATGCAAGGGAATGAATAGCACGGAAGGGGTCGGCTCAACCCGCCGTTTGTGTTGGTCTGGGGAGAAAACAAGCAGTTGCTCAATGGTTCCCTTTGTCTCTTTTTGTTTGGTGGGTTCCCGACTTAAAATGAAGTCACTTTCAGAGATCTTTCAGAGTAGTTTGCTAAAGCACCGAGCCCGCATACACTGCTTTCGAAGCCCGGGTGAGAACGCTGATGCTTCATGTCTGCGCCACTGGTCACGGAAGGAGACAAGGTAAGATGCAAAAGGGGAACACACCGCAGAAATGACGCAATTCCCCTCTTTGCCCCCTCCCCCTCCCCCTCCCCCTCTCCTTTCTAAACGACGACAGATTCACCCCGGGGGGGGGTGTGGGACCCGGGTCTTTCTCCACTCGGCGCGCGCGCGCGGGAGGTGACCTACCTCTCCGTGCTGCAGGCCCTGGCGCGCGGCGGGGCGCTGAAGCCGATGCTGCGGCTGCTGCGGCGGACGAAGAGCCCAGCGGCGTATGGGGTGGCCATGGCGGCCTGTGGTAGGCGGGGGAGGGTAAGAGAGGGTGGGGGGGGGAAGGAGGAAGAGCTGCCAGTGTCCGCTGGGGGATGGAGCAATTGTCCGTGGCTCATGTGGAGGTGTCTTTTTGGGGGGACACCTTTTGGGGTGGTTTTCAAGGGAACCGAGAGGAACACAACCATTGTGCTGGGTCTCCCTAAAGGAGACACGCGCCTTGCATGACCTATTTATTGTCTCATGTCGGCTTCCAAGCCCGCTGGTGCCATCTTGCTGGAGGTTCTATCCGCTTCATGCGGATTCCGAACCAACGGTCCATGGGTGAAAAAACTGAAGCAACTGGGTCGACATGAATATGATTGCTCCCCATTTCAAGGATGGTGCCGGTGGAGCACGGATTTTGATCAAAGTTGGCCAACTGGCGGCATCACAGCCAACCTGTGCTTCGTCAAATTTACAATCCAAGATTGTTTTGTTTCGGTTTGAAGGTTGACCGCGCCTTTTAGGATCTGATCTGCTCTTCAGATCAACACACTTTGCGAAAAAAAGAAAGAAACGAAACAACAAACAAAAAAACACATCATGTTGAACGGGAGTCTCCTTTTTGAGTGCCCCCTTCCCATGCAAAAGGGGCTTCAATTTGTCCCTTCCCGAGGAGTTCCCCAGGAGTTCTTCGCAGTCGCCGTCTCGCGAGGCAGGGCCAGTTCGACACAGTGGAGGCGTTGCTGGAGGCCCAAAGTACTCCGAGCACCAGGGCCTGGGGCTCAGGCATCATCGTCCCAGCCTTCCCCCCCCCCTTGGTGTCATGAGTGGGGGCCCCACCGACTTCCAGGGAAGTGAACAGACCCTGTAAGACGACTTTCCGGCTGGAAGTTGGTGCTTTGGGCACTTCCATGTTGGCAGGCTAGTCCTTAGTTCCTTACCCTGGTGTAGAAAGATTTGGTGAAGCCTTTGTAGTGGCTTCCCTTCCGGGAATTGCGGATTAGGATTTCTCCAGCCCTCCGTGTTGAACAGCCCGGTAACTTTCGCGTTGGACCCCACGTTTGAGCACAGCGAAAACGCGGCAGCGGAACTCTTTCCAAAGGGAAGCCGCGCTTTCGACTCAGCCACCTTTTTGGGGTGTCCTTTTTGCCATGGACACTGGGCTGCACGTTGATCCATGCTTCCACCCGAAAATTCTATAGCTCAGGGATCCCTGGAAATCGTACAGATAGAAACAGCTCGCATGCAGCGTTTGGGTTGGTAGGGAAACAAAAGGGAACAGTTGGACAAATGTATGGATTGCAAGTAGCAAATGGTAGGGGTTTTCTTGTAGGAGCAAACTGGTGCCTTAAACGTATATTTCCGCACCAATTGTACTCCCTTTCCGTACTCAATGAAGGTTTGAAAGTTTGGACCTTTTGGTGAACCTTGTGCTAAAAAAGAGAGGGCGTATTGCCCTTCACATTGGAACAAGGGTTCAATCCTCTGTAGGCTGGAACATTGGTGCATGAGGTTCATGCTTGGCTCCTCAGCTTAGATCTCTTGACATCCAAAGGCTTGGATTGTTTTGCTCAGGCCCTCTTTGATTAGGCATTATCAACGCCAGACACTGAGGGTGTTGTCCTTACGATTGGTTTCAGGCATCAAGTACCTGAAAAAGGATCGGAAGCGAGATACTGGTTGGCAACTACAGCAACATATGTGGAACTTGATCAGTGTCAACGAGTTTGGGAAAGTTTGCCTGTGAAAGATGCAGATGGGAGTCACCATAACCGCCAGTCTTTCGAGAAAATTCATGGCTCGGATTGGGAATGCCAGTGGCAGTCCTCGAAAAGCATGGATTCATCGCCGGACTGCATGCCATTGTATATATGTCATTCTATGCCTATACCGTCATTTCTATGGGTACTGCTTTGATATGTCCATGCATGGGTATTTCTCTACAGGAAGGACAAAATTATTTCCGGGTTGAGCGCTTGACAAAGGCGCCACCACCGCTGGACAAAAGTGACCAAACATGGCTGGACCGATTTGCGAGGTGGATACCAGGAGTGAGAGGTTTTTGCGAGAAGTATTTTCCTGACTGCAGGGCATCCACTGCTGTCCCGTAGGCGTGTAGCTGTGTTTAAACCTACCACTTGGGGGTGACTTTGATTGGCCAAGGGCATCCCCGCGTGTGTGTGTGAGTGTGTGTGCAAAGAATTCACCCATCTCTTCGTTGGTGCCAAACAACTAGCACAACACGCAACAAATACAACCCCCCCATTCTAACTCAGAGACACCCAATCATCCACACCTCTGGGAGTTTCTGAACTCCTTGCAGTATTCAAAGGGAAACACTCACCTATGGGAGTTCCTGCACCCCTTGTATTTAAAGGGAAGCCCGGCGACCATTTTGGGTTGAGAATTCCAACTTGAGGACCAGCAACTGGCGGTGAGTCCGAATCCGGGGAGCGGAATCCGCCGTTACACTCGCCGGCGTCCGAGTGAGGTGCTGAACTCTGCGATGAGCGCCTTCATCGACAGCGGCCAGGTGCGGAGGGCTGTGGAGGTGTACCAGGACAGGGCGATCGATCTGCCCTTATCCCAACTTGAAAATTGGAAGGTGTGAGGAAAGTTCAATGCAAAGGTGAACAATTTGATGAGAAAATAATGGCCATTCTTGGATATCCCCTGATTGTCTATCCATCAGGAGTGAGAAATCAAGGGAAAGGTGACATAAGGTGACACAATGTGATTGGTAGATCTCTCGTTCGTTTAGGGAATCAACGGAAAGTTGAGAAACACATGGCGGCTGATTTTGTTCGTTTGGTGAGAAAAAGATGGCCACCACCCCAAAACCAGGATATTGCCTGATATTTTCGCCATGTCCTTCGGGGGCAAGCAGTCGTCAGTTGGTGGGCGGGGGAGAAGTATAGATCCCGCAGGACATGGGCCGCTGGTCGCAAGTGCCGGATCTCGAGTCCTACAACATCCTCATGACGCTCAGACCTGGGGGACTACACTGCCGCGGATGGGGTTGGACCGCCCAACTTGGTGGTTTTCCTTTTGGTTTCCCTTTAAGAGCAACCAGACAGGGGTAGCAACGCGCAAAAAGAGCAGCGCCACCCATACAGGCGTCTTTTGAGGGAACGCTTGTCGGGGTTGGTCTTGGGAGACCAAAGGGACAACCATCCATTGAGGGCACAAGCGCCCGAGCATCCAAGAAATCCGATGACCATTTTGTTTTTGTGTTTAATCTTTTGGTTTACCTTTCACACGACTCAACAAAGGCCCGTGCCCAAACGAGATGCCTAGATGCCTTGGGAAACCCATTTTCCGTGCCAGAGGTGGGCAGTTCTCGCCATTGAGAAGGTTTGTTGCCACATTCTCTGATATTGGGGACTGAGGCCGCCTCCAATCTCGCACCTTCTCAAAAAACAGAATGCGAAGAATGAACCAGAGGGTTCGGAGTCGTCCTCCAAAAAACAGAATGCGAAGAATGAACCAGAAGCTTCGGAGTCGTCCTCCAAAAAACAGAATGCGAAGAATGAACCAGAGGGTTCGGAGTCGTCCTCCAAAACACAGAATGCGAAGAATGAACCAGAGGCTTCGGAGTCGTCCTCCAAAAAACATAATGCGAAGAATGAACCAGATGGTTCGTTGTCGTCCTCCAAAAAACAGAATGCGAAGAATAAACCAGAGGGTTCGGAGTCGTCCTCCAAAACACAGAATGCGAAGAATGAACCAGAGGCTTCGGAGTCGTCCTTCAAAAAACATAATGTGAAGAATAAACCAGATGCTTCGGAGTCGTCCTCCAAAAAACAGAATGCGAAGAATGAACCCGAGGGTTCGGAGTCGTCCTCCAAAAAACAGAATGCGAAGAATGAACCAGAGGCTTCGGAGTCGTCCTCCAAAAAACAGAAAGCGAAGAATGAACCAGAGGGTTCAGAGTCGTCTCCAAAACTCAGAATGCGAAGAATGAACCAGAGGCTTCGGAGTCGTCCTCCAAAAAACATAATGCAAAGAATGAACCAGAGGATTCGGAGTCGTCCTCCAAAAAAACAGAATGCGAAGAATGAACCAGAGGGTTCGGAGTCGTGCTCCAAAAAACATAATATGCGAAGAATGAACCAGAGGGTTCGGAGTCGTCCTCCAAAACACAGAATGCGAAGAATGAACCAGAGGGTTCGGAGTCGTCCTCCAAAACACAGAATGCGAAGAATGAACCAGAAGGTTCGGACTCGTCTCCAAAAAACAGAATGCGAAGAATGAACCAGAGGCTTCGGAGTCGTCCTCCAAGAAACAGAATGCAAAGAATGAACCAGAGGGTTCGGAAACGTCCTCCAAAAAACAGAATGCGAAGAATGAACCAGAGGGTTCGGAGTCGTCCTCCAAAACTCAGAATGCGAAGAATGAACCAGAAAGTTCGGATTCGTTCTAACCCTCCCTCCCCCCCTTCCAAAAAACGGATGCGGAGAATGAACCAGAGGCTTCGGATTCGTTCTAACCATCCCCGCCCCCCTTCCAAGAAAAAGGACGCGAAGAATGAACCGGAGGCTTCGGAGTCGTCCCCCAAAAAACAGAATGCGGAGAATGAACCAGAGGCTTCGGTGTCGTTCTAACACTCCCTCCCCCCCTTCCAAAAAAAGGATGCGAAGAATGAACCGGAGGCTTCTGAGTCGTCCTCCAAAAAACAGAATGCGGAGAATGAACCAGAGGCTTCGGATTCGTTCTAACACTCCCTCCCCCCCTTCCAAAAAAAGGATGCGAAGAACTAACCAGAGGCTTCGGAGTCATCCTCCACGAAAAGGACGCGAAGAATGAACCAGAGGCTTCGGAGTCGTCCTCCAAAAAACAGGGTTGCGGAGAATGATCCAGAGGCTTCGGAGTCGCTTTTGTTTTTTTTATTCAGGAAGGCCTACACTTTGCAGGGCGCCTGGCAACATTCACTGCACCTCCTGCAGCTCCTGCGCTTCAGCGGGGAGGTCGCCTCCTCCTCGCGCGCGGACGTTGTGAGCTACACCTCGGCCATCGATGCATGTGGGAAGGCGGGGGTGGGTCGGGGGTTGCCCACCAGGATGTGGAGCGCAGGTTTTAGTTTTTGGGGTGGGATGGGTGGGTCAAAAGTTGAAAGCACCAGCATGTGGACCGCAGGCTTTTCAGTTTTCGGAATTTGGCAAGCCAGTTTAAGGGGTTGCCCTAGTTCTGATTCACAGCCAATCCAGCCCTCCGCGTTGAAAGTTTGACAGGTCGAAGGGGGGGGGGGATTCAAGGATGACTCTATTCATCAGGGGGGGGGGAACACGAGAGACTCTAATTTATCAAGATACATCAAGATACATTAAGATCAAGCACCTCACTTTTCACGACTAGCTTGCTTTCACCGCGGCCGGGCGGTGGTTTTTGAGCCAGCCACCAGGCGCTGAGGTGGCGCCAGGCGTTGCAGCTCTGCTGGGAGATGCGAAGCTCGGCTTTGTTTCAAAGGGCGCCGCAGGCGAAACCGGTGGCATTCCTTGGTTGCTCCCAGCCATCCCGTTAACTTTCTAGCCATTTAGTGTTTAGTGGCAGTTTCCATTTGGCACACTAGAAGTTAAACATTTTAGTGGGGGATCTGAGGGCAGCCCAGATTCATGGAGGGTTTGCGTTCCGGGATGGAGCGTCTGGTTGGGGAAATTTGTGAGGGCAGATTCTTGGGTTTCTGGTGGGGTTCCGACGGGGTTCCGATGGGCTTTCGGGGTGAGCGGTTAGATTGCGGGCCTTCAAGACATTGAAGTGCAACCCGTTACAAAGGGTCAACTCTGATTCTTAGCATCGACTTTTTGATGTTTTCTGAGGGTCCCAAAGGCCAGTCACCAGAATATGACATGAGTAGCAACGCTTTGGTCTCTGGTGTTGAACGTACCAGTTCTTTCCAGACGATCTTTGGATTTCCTCCTATGTTGAGCCACCCAGTTTGGGTGTTCGGAAGTGAGGCTACCCATCTTCGGGGCTTGTTTTAGGAACCAGGAAACCCACCGCTGAGGCGATTGGTCGGGGAAATGATGTGTTTGCATCACCCAAAAGGGCTGATAGTTGAGAAATATGGGTCTGCCTGTTTTTTGTGTTGGAACCCAAAAATAGCTTTAGTCTTTTGTTTGCTTCCCTTAACAAAACGACAAAGGAGTACCCTCACAAAAGACACGCCTATATACTTCCATTTGCTTAATTGTATACTTTGTTTTCCCCTGTTGGTTTTAAAGGGAGTCTATCACTACTGGAAATATGTTGATTTGTTCCAGGGGACGAACAGCAAATGGATGTCTAGGGAACCCTGTTGGTACCGTAGCTGTCCACTAACATGGAATCCAATCCACAAAAGGGTCCCTTGTTAAAGGAGAATACTCCAAACCCTCTTTCCTGTGAGGTTCCATGTTTGTGGATTGGAGGGTACCAGTCTATCAGAGTCTATCGCTACTGGACATATGTTTGTTTGTCCCAGGGGACGAAAAAGCAAATGGATATATAGGGACCCCAGTTGGTACCCAGCTGCACTTAGGATAGACCTTTCCCATGTTTTGTTTAATGCCATCCCTGTGAAAAATGGTGATTGATGTAGGGGGTGACTTACATGGATGGCATTAACAAAAAATGGGGAAGGTCTATCCTAACTGCTGTACCGGCCTGTTGCTCCCTAAGGAAGCGACCAGGTCAGGCCCGACATCGTGGCCTTTGGCGCCACCATCGGCGCCTGCGCAGCAGCGGCCCGGAACGAGGGGGCGGGCGCCTGGCAGATGGCGCTACGGCTCTTTGAAGAAGCGCAGCTGCAAGGACGGAACGTGTTTTTTGTTTGTTTTGTTTCCTTTTAAAAAACATGTTGTTTTACGTGTTTTTTGTTTTTGTTTCCTTTTTTGGTGGTGGCTGACAGAATTCCTATTTGTTGTCTTTGTAGTGTATTTGTTTGGTTTGTCAATTCATAACTGCGTGGTTGAAGTTATATGGCCATGGGGCATAACCTATGGCTCCATTTTTTGGGTGGATGAACATCCATGTGCCACCTATTTTGATGTTCACCAGGGGTTTCCTGAGTTTTTACCCACAGCCATATGTTTGTTGTTTTTGTTTCGGTGGGTGGTGGCTGACAAAATTATGATTTGTTATTTTTGTGGTGTTTTTGTTCGGTTTGTCAATTCATACTGCGTGGTTGAAGTCATAATGGCCATGGGCATACTGCGTGGTTGAAGTCATAATGGCCATGGCTTGCATAACCTATGGCGAGCCATTTTGGTGGTGGATGAACATCCATTTACCACCTATGTTGATGTTCACCAGGGGTTTCCTCGGTTTTGACCCACAGCCGTATGTTTGTTGTTTTTGTTTCGGTTGGTGGCTGGCAGAATTCTGATTTGTTGTTTTTGTAGTGTTTTTTGTTTTTTGGTTTTGTTTGTCAATTCATGCTGCGTGGTTTGCGGCTTGTCATTGTGAAGTTGCTGTCTTTTCGTACAAAGTCAGTTGGATTGGTATTGTTCCTTGCGGGTGCACTTCTTGCATCCGGGGTTCTAAACAATAGCCAACAACTGTTCATTTCTTTCAAAAAGAAGCAAACAGGATATTGACATTTGTAATTGTTCCATGGCCGAATGTGGGGGCGTGCGCCTGGAGTGCATGGCGCGCGTTGGATTTTCTTCGATATCGGCTTGTTGAGACTTGCTCAGGTTTTTTCCCTGCTGGGTGCATCTCTGTCTTGAACCTGAATTGTGTGGCTTTAAACATCCTTGTGCGGGCCGTTTGAAGTGAGTTTCCTTTTGGAATCATGTTTTAAGGGGAAATGTTGGGCGAGAACCCTGTGAACTGTAGATCTTGGGTTCACTCCAAAGCTGCTTGACGAGTGGAGGATTTCCCATGAGCACCCAGTGCCTGAACAACGCCCTGCAGGCCGGTTTGACGGGAGACGGGTTCCATTGGTTTGAGATATCTGTGTGAAGGGATCAGGTAACCTGTGGGCTTGCGGGTTTTGATTGGTTTCGATCTGGATTTGAAGCCCTGGCTTTCGTAGAGGGATGGGAGGCCACCCCTGAACCGAACCCAAACCACCGGATCCAACCCACCAATCAGAAGGAAGCTGAAGTGATGTGCCGGCACTCGAAGCCAAGGGAGGTAAGCTCATCTTTGAACAAGTACAAAGGGTCCATCTTAGGCGGTGTTTTTTTTTTGGGGGGGGACTTTCTTATCAGCTTGTGAAGCGGTACCCTTTTTCAAGTTCCCTTTTTTGTACAAAAGTCACTGGTTGCACCTGCTCCCTTTTTCTACAGTCTCCTCCACAACTACGTTGTGTTGGGGTGGACGAAATATGAAACAGAATCAGAACATGTGATTTCTGCGGTCCCCTGTTTTCGGGCCAAGTCTTGCTTGGTACAAAAGGGGGTCCACTAATACATGGGTCAAACCGAAACAACTGACTTGGGGGGTTCCCTTTTTGCAACTGTTCCCTTGGTGTTTGGTGCAACCGCAGAAGAATCTGTCTTTCCCATTTTGGTTTTAAAGGGATTCGGAATCTATTCCAACACCCCCAACTGCTGTTTCCCATCTCCAAAATCCCGTTTGTACTGGAAGCCAAAAGCAGTAGTTGGGACCAGGGTGCTGGTTACTGCCGGACATACAGTGGATGGACGAAATCCTGCAAAAAGAAAGCGATTCCCCTGCAAGTTCTAACAGACGTTATGGTTGTCAGCCATGGACTCTGAAGGGTGCGAACGGATCTCGTCCATGCAGATGGCAAATGTCTGGGGAGTAGGGTTGGTTTTACAGGGAGTGGATCACTGCCAGACATGTTTGTTTCATGTTTTCTTCAGTTGCGGATACCCTCCCACCCTTTTTTACATGGAACCGTTCGACGTTGAGGAAATGGTCCCAGCGAGGAAGTTGGTCCAAGCCAGGACCGATGCCCCGAACGTCGAAGGTGTTTTTCCATGTTTGTTCATGTGTGTTCGAAGTTTTTCTTGTTTGTTTTCCTGTTTTGTTCATTGTTCATTTCTGTTTTTTTTCTTCACCACTGGGTATGTTGCTTTGCATGTCTTTCCGGGGATCTCCGCTGGGCCCAGGCCTGCGTCCTCTCCTCTCACTGGGAGACCTCACTGGCCATCGCCCAAAGACTCGACTCCAGTGACCTGGTCACCTCCAACCTCCAGCTGGCGTCATGGCGAACAGGAACAGCGCAGGGTCACTTTTTAGCCGTTTTTGGTCATCATGCGTTTTAGTCGTTCTGTCTAGTTTGCATATCATACATTAATATATATATATATATAGAGTGTCTTCTTGTTGAACATTGTGTATTTGGGTTCTTATTGTGCATGTTGTAGATCTGATTTCTGATTTGAGCGTGTATTTTTTGGGAGAAATCGACAGGGGACCATACCTTTTGGGGACCCGCCTCTTTTGGGCCACGGTTGGTTTAAAGGAAACCACCTCAATTGGCGTACCCCCATTTCGGGAGATGGGTAAGTATTTGTTCATTGTACTTTTCCCAAAGGCAGCCAACAGGTTATGAGTCGATTTTTTTCCGCCACCACATCGCTTGGCAATTTCGTGGCTCGGGGAAGCAATTGTCGCCTGAGGCGTCACTTTCTCTGGGACGGCAGTGGCAACAGGCCAGGGTTGGCTGCATTTGTTCAAACAGGTGGACTTTACTTTGGTAAAGTGACGCAACCCTTGGGAAACTCTGAAGCAGGGCAACATTCCATGCTTTTCTGTGCCAGTTTGCTCATTACTAGCAAGAGAGCTTTCATACCCCATTGATGTTCTTGAAGCCATGGATGAATTGGGTGTGGGTCAAACATAGGGCAATCCCAAAATGGCGTGCCCTGGTAAAATGCTAACAAGGACTGACATTTGCGGTCAATATCCTGGTGGTTTACTTTTGACCCATACCCAATCATAGAGGTTGGCGTCTCCCCCTGTAGGCGCTGCAGTATCTTCACACAGAGATGGGCCAAAGAGGTCACCAGCCCGACGCATCCACCTACAACGCCTTGCCGGAGGATGCGGATGATCCGGACATCGCGACTTGGCTTTTGCGAACATGGGCCGTGAGGCTGTGAGGCTTTCTCGACGGGTGTTCTTGTGGTTCCAAAACGACCCCCAGTTAGCGATCTCCAAAAGGTTGCCCTCCGAATTCCAAGTCACAAAAGTTGCGTTCCCTCACAAAAGGGTCCCTATTTGTTTCTCACAAAAGTTACCCTCAAGTATGGGTTGCCCACCATGGGGAGAATTCCCTCATGGCCCGTTCTTTCGGGTCCCACACCCACAGCGCAATGCACACCCCTGGCCCAACTGACTGGCGGTGGTTGTTTGCGGATGTGATTAAACTTGGGGCCCCGTTTGGTGGGTGTTGGTTTTAACGAGTCAATGAAATAGATGGGTTCGAGTGGCTTTGAGTGGTTTTATGCCCCATGTATGTTTGTCCAAAAGGTCGCCTATGTTAATGAGCACGGCCAAATGACCATCAATATGTTGAGCCCCCAATTGTTGTGACATTGGTTTTGTCGTGTGCATTTTCGTGGTTTTCCCTCGGAACGCGGTGTCCATAACTTGCTGGCGAGTACATTCTATTGACCAATCGACGCCTTGAATTGGAACAGTTGGACAGTGTAACACACCCTAGGCGAGATGAGATGTTGAAGGGCACCATTTTTTGTGGCGCCAAAAGGTAAACCTTTCATTTTGCGTCCTTTCGGCAACTGAGTCAGGGATCAGTCAAGCTTGTGTAAAAGGCTGCATGTGGCCTTGTACCGACCGGAACTGAGCCACTCTATTCGCCGCGGACGACCGCGCAAGTTACCATTGGGAAATCTTGATACCTGGTTTGGTGTTTGATTTTCCAAAAGGCCATCTATGTTATGTAATGAGCACGGCAAAGGACAACCGATTCAAGGACGTGTGTTTTTTAGCTTCCCCTGCTTAGCTTCAACAGGGGAAGCGCTTGGCATTTGGGATACCTCCAACCAAATCAAGGCAAAGACTTTGGATACAGGAGTTCACTTGCGTCCAATCTGGTATTCTTCCAGCCCTGCATCAAAACCGTAGCCTCACTATCCTTGTGTGTCTTGCATTGAAACCAAGAGGCCATGGAAAGCCAAGGGGAACCAAGGGAAGCTCAAGAACCAAAGTTGGCAAACCAAGAGAAAGGAATAAAGCCACCGGGTTTCCCCAAAAGAACAGCAACTCCGGACCCAAACCGGAGCTCGCACGACTTTCCGAGTCTCAGGAGAAGCTTAAGGACTACCTGGCGCGATGTTTGATGCAGGATGAGTTTCAGCCGGGGGACCACGTTTTGGACCTCCACGGCATGTCTCTCTCCTCCGCCTCTCGATCAGAAATATCAGATATTATCAGATCCCAGGCCTCCGATTTTTGTTTTGGCCGACGGGCGAGATGTTGGCCTTTCTCCGCGGACGCCACGCCATGGAATTTCGCCGGTTGGGTTTAAAGGGAATCTGGAGGCGGGTCATGTGCTGCGCATTTTTGTTTGTTTTCAGGGCAGGTGCGGTTTAAGGCGATTTGGAGTGGAACGGCTTTGACTCTCTTGGCCCTCCCAAAGTTCTTTTCCATGCGAGGGGGTGGCTATGATCGACTTGCCGATCGATCCACTTGCAGATCGACTTGCTGGTTCTCGGGAAGGGATCCTAAAAGGAAAGGCGCCAGTGGGATGGTTCCTTTCGCGGTCATTCCCCACATTTTTTGGGGAGCTGGAACCGGCATCAAAGTGTCGGACCTCTTTGGCATGCAAGGAGAGTGGTTGTTTTTGTCGAGAGAGCGCAAGGAGGGCGGAAGCAACGCGCTCGTTGGGAGAGGTAGCAACTGAGGCATTGAGCCTTTCCTCAATGCCTGGGGCCCATCGCTAGTCACTGACCAACCAGAAGCGGCCGCTCCCTTGATTCCCTGGTTCCGCTTTGATGCCGGTAACCCAGTTTTGAGGACTGCTTCTCGTGAGTGAGAACCTGCTGAAAGCCATTTACTTGAAACCCATCTACTTGAAACCCATCTACTTGGAACCCATCTACTTGGAACCCATCCGTTTGAAAGCCATTTGATGGACCTACCTCCACTGGAGGCAAAGAAGGCGGTTCGCCTTGCGCTGGATGACCAGACGGAGAGGGTGCTCCTCATCGTCACGGGCCAGGGCAAGCCCCTGGCCGAAAAGCGAGCGACCGAATGGGCGAGTGACATGGTTGAGGGTACCAACAAGACAGGAGACACATGCGGTTTAGCAGGGACTTGTTGTTGGGAAACATTTTACATTTTTGCTTATTGTGGTTTAGTTGGACATTTCCACTTTTCTGCTGAAATTTAAATTGCTGCTCCCCTTCCAACGTCAACCAAGTAGCAGGGACTTGTTAAAGGTGTGTAAGAAAGCCAAGTAAGACCAGATTTGGGTTGGGAATTAAGAAGAAACCCCACCAATGTGGGTTCTTTTTGTTTTTTGTTCAGAGGGGGTGGATTGGTCAGAGTGCAAAAAGGAAAACCCAGCATTCTGGGTGGTGTCCGGCTATTTTCCCACTGTCTCGACAAGGACGGGCCCCAAATTGACTATGCCCAAGGAAGATCGTGGCTGTGCTGCCGTAGGTCCAGTCCAGGAAACGGCTCCACCAGAATCGCCCAGCCGCGAAATTATTAGTTTTAAAACCCACTCACGACGTGCGCGTTTACTCCTAGGGCACGATAAGCTGGAGAAAATATGCAGCTAGAACTTCCCCTCCTCCCAGACGAAGGTTTTCAGATCAGAACCCCTAAGAACGTCTTGCCAGGTGCTGGAATAGTTGAACCCATTTTTGTTGGCTTCTTCAGAACCTTTTTTGGTGAGCTATCCAGTGGTTCCCTCTTTGCACTTCCGGGTTGAACCAGCCGGGCCAAAAAAGCTGCAGCCGTCGAGCTGACCTGGAGGGTTGTCGAACTGTGCGCGCCCCTTTTTTCGGTAATCCCCCGTAGCAAAAGCGTGCCAAACCGTCCGATTTTTGTGAACATCTACCAGAACAAGAACAACAACAGCTGAATCGCCGATTTGCGTCAATCTACCACAAAAAGAAAAAAAAAGGACCAATGCAACAGGGGATGGTTCATTTCTGAGCCATTTCTTCCAGACCCACCACCTTGAGGCGCCCATTTTTCAAGGCGGCAGACCCCCTGAGGCACAGCTCCGAGAAAGCCGTGCTCAAAGAAGGCGTCGCCTCCATGCTGAAGCAGCTGCACTGCCGGGTTCGAGCCACTGAGGCGCCGGAGCCGTTGACAGATCTTCAAATTGGGTATCTGGGCATTTTTTTGGGGGGACACCTCCTCTTTGGTTGATTTTTTACCGGAAGGTCCTAGAGGTCCGTTCTCCTGCCTTGACACCGTTCATGGTTTGATCATGGCTCATAGCTTTCAACATCGGTTGTTGTGGCTCGAAGTGGAATTGGCTCAAGGGTCAAACCCCTGTTGAAAATACGACACCCCCTTCGGCATCTAGACTTAGGGGTTGCAAATTGTGGGACGCCTTGAGAGGGTTGGAATCGTATTGCGTGCAGAATAGGCAACCCCGTTTTGGGATGGTTTGAAGGAGAATCTGGGAGAAAACCCACCGTGACACACCTCCTCTCAGGCGTCAGGTTGAGATCTGAAACTTGGAAGTTTCATGCGGGTCTGTCATGTGTTTGCAGCCGCTGTTCTGTGGTTTTAAAGGGAAACCAAGAGGAACACCACCGTTTTGGGGGGGTCCCCTGACAAAAAGAGAGACACCCATCTTGGTGTGGCCCGGCAGTGTGTCCAACCCCGCGGCCCTGCAGGGCGGCTTCTACGTTTCCCGGACTCCGGCACACGCCGCTGCCATCACCCGCCGAAACGCGACGCGGTGTTCGACGGCGGAAGAAAAGCGCCGCGCTGATTTTGCGCACTGCTGTCGAGGGGTCGGTTGAATGGGCCTAGCGACGTTTCAAAATGGGTGTCTTTCTTTGTGGATACATTTTTTTATTTTTTTCTCTGGTTGTGAAGGGAACCAAATGGAAAAAACACACCATTTTGTGGGGAGATGCCTTCCACCCCCCTGGATTTCGGACAACCCGAATTGTTCATTTCAACAGAGGACTCATGTAAACACCATGTACATTGGCATGCGTGTCCACTAATTCGCATTTTTTGGAGGGTGTTCCCCATCGAGAGCCACCTAGGTTCTCTTCAGTTCTCCCCACTGCGAAGCAAAGACACGGCCCATGCTGACGGTTGACGCCGAAGCCAAAATGAGATCAGGATTCCTTTTCGTGTGGTGTTTGGATGGTTCCGCCTCCTTGTATATGTGTGGATTTGGGCTCGGTTCTTGACCGAGCGGCGAAATGTGCCCCACTTTGGGGTCGGATGAGGTCAAAGAAATCAAGCCCGAGGCAGCCCGTTGCTGAAGCCTTATGTTGTCCCAGGCAGCTTGGAGGCTGGCCATGTACCCAGCGGTTGGACCCAGGGTTCGATGCCTTGAAGGGAGCGGGGCCCTTCTCATTTTGTCAGGAGAGGAGGAAAAGGTTACCATCTTGGATGTCAGGCACTCGACATTCCCCACAACTTCTTCTGAACCCGGGATATGCCTTGAAAGATGGGTTGCGCAGTGAACTGGTTGTGCAGGGACGGACATCAACGAGGACTTGATTGGCTTTTGCGTTTAATTTGGGGAGCCGTTGGCTCTCATTACAGGGATATCACCAGTGAGTTTTGTGGCATACTGTACGTGCATGGTGCAACGCACGGGCCCAGCTTTTTGGTTTTTCGGTGTAAATCATTCGCGAAATCCGCATACGTCAGGGACCCTTCACATTTTGCAGCCTTTCTTTCTTTGGGTACAAGGGCCTACATAATTAAAATGTGGTTGCGAGGTACTTTGAACCGTTATACAAGTTATACCAGCAGCCCTCAACTACTGCTTTTCAGAACGTACTTGGGATTTTGGACGTGATTTCAACGTGCAGAACAGTTGGGAGGTGCGGCTAGAAAGCTATCTATCTATCTATATATATATATATATGTATACATAGTGTTAGGCTCTTTGCCGGACCTTTCCAGGCTTCCACGCCGACTCCAAGAAGCCACTTGGATCGCAGTGGCGTTTTTTGTTTTTTGGTCCAGGGTTGTGGGATCACTCGGGGGTTATCCAACCACTTCTGTGATGCAAGGGGTTGGTCTTTGGGAGGCCCCCTTTGTAAATCACAGAAGTGGATTCCATTTCCCATTGTTTGGCCCGGAGTCCGTAGTTTGTGTGAAGATTCAATGTGCCCAGATTACATGATGCCTATTCGCTTGCGATTTTGTTTAATCCTCACTCAGAATGGCATCCCGCACATGTCCCCAAAACGGCTGGTTCCTTTTGGTTTCCTGTCAAACCAAAAGGGGGCAAGCCCCAAGAACACGAGCCACCCGCAGGTTTTCTGAAATGCCAGCATGGCCTTTTGTCCAGCACACCCGTCCTCAGATTTGCGTGGGGGTTGCATTCATTGGTGTTCCTGTGCTTGAACCAAAAATATATCCGGAAGAACGACCAACAGGAAATCAAAGCTGACACTGACACAGAAACACACAGAAGAAACAAACAAAGAGCGCCTAAATTGATCCCGCACCCTTCATGTACGAGCGAGATCCATTTTTTGGCCAAAATCAACGCCATTCGGCCGCTCGGATCATTGAGCGCGTTTCTCGGCTCATGTACACGCAAACAAAACCCACGGAACACCCAGGGCCATCTCCATGTGGAAACCAGGAGGGCTTTGGGGAATGTCGGAATGTCTGTGTCTCGAGAAACAGAAGGTCACCTCCACCAAGAGGAACATGAAAGGGTCCCAGCATACAGATGGCCGCGCAGGAGGGGGCGAGCTGGTGTTGAAGAGCACATCCTTTTTGGCAGGAAGTTAACATTATGCTTCCCTTTAACCGCAATGAACAGGCCATATGAAGTATACTTATTTGATAGTCATGCGTGCACATCCATATGCTCATGGGAGTGGATCAACAGCTCCTTGTCAGGACTTATATGCTATGGAGGAACGTAGCTGTTTTTTCCTTGGCCTCATCTCAAAGAAAGCTTTGCTCTCTCCCAGGCACCTGGTGCACGCGCTCAGAGATTCCCTGGATGAGTTTGAGAATGGCAGGGGGCCTTGGCACTCAAACCCAACGTGCGTGTGAAAATGGGATCCCAACAAAGGGGCGATCCATTTGGGAGTCGTGAATAGGGGGCTTCACTACTCCAAAGTTGGATACTGTTCATTTTGATGGTTGTTGTTTTTTTGATTTTTCTTGGTTTTTGTCTATGCCTTTGGGGATGTAGACATCACCGCTCTGGCCGTAGGACTCATCTCCCGATGCTTTAGAGCCGACAAAAAGATGGGCCCCGGTTTAGGTCTTGGCTGGATACTTTTTCGGGCTGCTTGGACTCCAAACTAAGAGCATGGACTTCTCATCAGCGCATCCAAGTGATGAGAGGGCTTTTTCTGTCGAGAGAGCAGCCGATCTGCAGAAAAAGACGGGGGGAACCCAATGGGGATCCATTTCTAATGTCAGAAATTGGAAGGATGGTAAACACAAATGCAAATGTGCATGGAGTGATATCTAGACGGGATACCCTCCCACCAATGAACATGGAAGCCGACGTTCGGGTCCTGGACCGTTTTTCCTTATAAAGGGGCATTTCCCGAAGGTCGAACGGCATAGAGGGGACTTGGGAGGCGATTTGTCTGGACTTTTGGGCCATTGACCAGGTTCCTTTTTTGGGCAGTTGACACGTACATCGACCTCCAGTGACTGGGACTCTCGTTCCGAACTCGGAGATTGATTGATTGAAATTTGAGAAACGAGCGGAAGCAGTGGGCCTTTGTTGCCAGAGAAAATTGTGAATATAGTGTTGTTGAATATAATTATTGCGGGTGCCCCCCTTTAGGGGATTGAAAGGGCAACCA